TAAGGCACCTGGGGCGAAAATGTCTCCGCGTAGACCCAACCCCTTCCATCCGCTGCTGCAGGGAACCTCTCATCCGCAATGGCGAACTCTCCGATTTTACAATCTAGATATTCCAACAGGGCCATTCTTTTCAGGAAGTGCACATGAATGGAACCACCAGGCGAGATGGGTTCATACCAGCCTGCCTGCCAGACGGCCCCTCAGAGTCCTTCCTCCATGCCCTACATAGGATTTTTCCATCTGTCACACAGCACTGAACCGTGACACACTTATCCAAAAAAATAGTATCTTTTGGTCCAGGAGGACACTTACAAAACAAATTAAGCCAGTTCCCCCTCTGGTTATGGCCCTAACAAAGGTTATAGGAAAATCCTGGGGACTGATTACTGCCCTGCCTCCATGGCTACAGGAAAGGGGCAAAATCCCCCAAATGCAACCATGCTGTGGCTTTCAAACCTCAAAGCTCTTCATAAAATGACCTGGAAAAAAAAACAACAGGAAGAAAAACACTAAACTACAGTAGTTGTGTCATAGATGAGAATTCTTTCAGCAACAGAGTCATTTGCTTGTTGAGTTCTCAGCCTTGAAGCCAGAATGCACAACCTTTGCAAAAATTCCTATGCTAGTCAGCGATGCCTCCACCCCAAGCACATTAATCCGGCATGACTGGACAAAAACAAAATAATTACCAGTGCTTTTCAGAGTTAGTTTCCTACCAAACACAGAAAATGGCTTTTCCTTGCCCCGCCCCCTCAAAGACTGAGGAAGATGAAGGCACCAGATTGAAAGGAGATTTCAGAGAGGAAGAGGGAGACATAGAAACACTAATGATGAGAGAGAATCATCAATCAGTCGCCTCCTGCACACCCCCACACTGGGGATCGAGTCGGCCACTTGGGCATGTGCCCTGACCAGGAATTGGGCCATGACCTCCTGGTTCATAGGTTACACTCAACCACTGAGCCACACTGGCTGGGCTGAAAGGAGATTGAATGATCACAGTACTAATCGTTGGAGGGCCCCTCAGGTGCCCAGGTAGTTGAATGGGAGTTACATGGAGGGGTTAGGAGGTTCAGTTAAAGGTTTACAAGTACCAGCTCCCCAGCAGATGTTTGGGGCTATTTTCCTAGTTGGTTGACCTTGGCAAGTTGCTTCCTCCCCCAAGGCCTAAGTCACCCCAAAGGCCAGCTCTCTGAGGCACACCTCTGGGGTCAGCCATATGCTAGTTTTCCTCTTCAACAGACGCCAGTCGTGGGAGAATTCACAGCACTTGGTGGTAGGGGAGGAGTCAGGAATGACACCGGACCTATAGCGTCACTAGCTGGGTGGATGGTCACACAGCCCGGGAAATAGGTGATCCAGGAAGCAGAGCAAGTATGTAAGGGAAGGAGGAATTCAGCTCTGGGCATGGTGAAGTTTGGGATACCCCTGCCAGGCTGGAAAAAGATCAGGGCTAGAGGTGATGATTGAGGCTCCTGAAACGATGGGAGTGGGAGAGACCAGGAAGAATAGAGAGGGAGACCCAGACAACCCTGAGAAACACCCGCATCGAGGGCACAGACAGAAGAGCATCCTGCACAGGGGGGGAGTCGGGTGGGGCCACTGGAGCAGAAGAGGAGAGTGTTTCCAGATTTTGGAGCAGGGAGGTAATTAATGACAAGGCAAGGCGTCGTGAACACTAAGGTCCCTACTTTCCTCTCCACCCCAGATCTTATCAAACCGGAATGGCCACACAGCTGGTGTAAACAGTGTATCCCGTCCCCTTAGCCATTCACTCTTACGGCCTATTCCCTGTCATCACCCTCTGTGAAATCTCACATTCAAATATCCCGCTTTCTGACTCTTTCTCTCTTAGTTCTCAAACCACTGCCTCTCTTCCTTGACCTGCTGGGACCCACTTTCTCCCTTCTCAGTCTCCTTTCCTCTTCAGCTTGACCCCTTCCTGCCACCATTTTTTCCCACTTGAGGCCAAACTTGATAAGAGAGCTGTCATCACTTCCTTCACTTCCTCCTCAGGCTTCTGCAGTTTGCTGACATTGTATTGCAACATCCAGAAGGTGTTTCAGCCATTGCCTTGTCATTAATTACCTCCCTGCTCCAAAATCTGGAAACACTCTCCTCTTCTGCTCCAGTGGCCCCACCCGACTCCCCCCCTGTGCAGGATGCTCTTCTGTCTGTGCCCTCGATGCGGGTGTTTCTCAGGGTTGTCTGGGTCTCCCTCTCTATTCTTCCTGGTCTCTCCCACTCCCATCGTTTCAGGAGCCTCAATCATCACCTCTAGCCCTGATCTTTTTCCAGCCTGGCAGGGGTATCCCAAACTTCACCATGCCCAGAGCTGAATTCCTCCTTCCCTTACATACTTGCTCTGCTTCCTGGATCACCTATTTCCCGGGCTGTGTGACCATCCACCCAGCTAGTGACGCTATAGGTCCGGTGTCATTCCTGACTCCTCCCCTACCACCAAGTGCTGTGAATTCTCCCACCTAAATGTCTCTGGAATTTCTACCATTTCCCTCTGCCCCCATGGCCTCAGTACTAATTCAGGCCATCATTACCTACAGTCTACATTATTCCAAGAATTTCCCACCTGTCCCCTCCCTTCCATTGTTTTTTCTTTTTTAGAGTATTTTAGCTTTTTTAAAAAATCTTTATTGATTTCAGAGAGGAAAGGAGGGATAGAAACATCAATGGTGAGAGAGAATCATTGATCAGCGGCCTCCTGCATGCCCCCCACTGGGGATCAAGCCTGCAACCCAGGCACCTGCCGAGACCAGGAATCAAACCGTGATCTTCTGGTTCATAGGTCGATGCTCAACCACTGAACCATGCCCAGCCAGTCCCTTCTATTGTTGATCAGGAAATAGAGGGTTAGATTCCTGTGAGCCCCTGATCACATCAGCTGATCAACACATAACCTTATTTTACGTATGTTTTTGTTTAATGACACCTTTGTCAATATGTATTATTGATTCATTAACATTGAACTCATAACCAACAGTGCTATAACTCATGCCTGAATGAAGGATAGCTAAGGCTCATTGCAGCCTTCTTGTGCTTAAGAACACTAGCCAGTTTGGCTCAGTGGATAGAGCATCTGCCCGCAGACTGAAGCATCCCAGATTTGATTCTGGTCAAGGGCATGTACTATAGTTGCAGGCTTGATCCCAGGCCCTGGTTGGGGCACATGCTATAGGCAACCAATTGATGTGTCTCTCTCGCATCAATGTTTCTCTGTCTCTCCTCACTCCCTTCCACTCTCTCTAAAAATCAATGGAAAAATATCCTCAGGTGAGGAGTAACAAAAAACAAAACAAGAACACTAGACTGCACTTCACCATTACATTTGGGGGACATTTTACACAGAACCCACCAACAAGAAGCTATAAATGTGAAAATCCTGTTAAGTAAGTCTGCGCTGAAACAAGAAGGCAGAGCACTCACTACCTTGTTTAACCTGTTGGAAATGTGTGCATCAGGCAACTCAAAATTTTGCCATTCTGCGAATGTCTGTAAATGACCACAAAAACCTGGGTATTAATTTTGGGATTACAAATAAATTTTGGTGAGTTCATAAACATAGAACTTGTGAAAAAATGAGAATCAATTATATTTAAAACTATGACATAGTGACATCCTGTATTACTATGCACACAAACGCACCAGGGGCTTATTAAAGGAGGGCCTATAGCCTACAGCCCTGGCACCGAGAGCAGCCCTGGGAGCCCCTCCCCACCAGGTCTGGGCTCGGCACAGCTTCTTCCCCAGGGCAGCACAGTGCCGTGGGGCGGGGCCAGGGAGGAGGATTCTGGACCATGCTACGTGGGTCCAAAGGCCGGCTCCACCACTCATTTGCTGGGTGACCTGGGCTGGTTTCCAGACATGTTTATAAATCTTGTTTGATAAATCTATATGGGACTTCTAATAAAAGGGCAAATAGTATTCTAATAAAAATAACTGGGCCTCCTAGCTCAGGGCTGCCACTGAGTGCTTAGTATTTGGTTAGTGAACGAAGGTCTAATGTTTGATAATTACATATGGGACAGCCAAGTTATATATACCTTTATTAATTTCTTCCTATCCACAAGCTAATCATAGGGCATTGCTTAATGATTCTCCCCAATCATGACCTTTTTTGGGGGGGAGGGGAGTATCCTCTCAGTATCGCCCCCTTCTTTCTCACTGATGGCATCTAATTGTTCCTCTTTCCCAAATAAGCAATACCCTGAAGAAGAGAAACTGAGTCATTCAACCTAAGGAATAAATGACCCCTTAAAAACTGTCAGAAACATCCTACCTAAACATCTTCTGAAATCTAGTAAAGGTGTGAACCATAAACACCTGCCTGGTATCCTATTTGTTTAGCCTTCCAGCCACCTGTCCAACACACGTTATCACTAAGCTCTTGGCCAGGTGCACCAGAGGAAGCAGGAAGTGACTTGCCCAGAGTTCCCAGTCTCATCAGAGGCAGGGTCAGGGCTCCAACCCAAGTCTTCCAACTCCACACTCCACAGTCTCCAGAGAAAGACAACACCCATGAGATCCAGGCTGAACTTAAAGCAAGAGCTATGACACACACTCTGGGGGGGAAATAAGGAAAACCAACCAGCCAGTCCCTGAAAAGAGAAACATGGATTTCAAAATGTAAGGCCAGAGTGTGTGTGTTAATTTATTAGGGTTGACTTTCCATTTCAGCTTCCAGGAAAAGAAAAACTCCTGTGAATCACTTAATATTAACCAGACGTTGATGTATTACAATAAAATAAGTAAGTTTACAAAAAAATTCCTGTGATTTGAACTGCTGAAAGGGCAGAAATGATCACAAACGTCACCTGGCCCAGGTCAGGGCCAGGGAAATCAATACTATAAAAGTGAAAGAAAACATTCATTCAAAACCATGATCCTTAATTCTATCAAATTCCGTAAAAGCAGTGAGATATTCTTAGAAATTTGGTGATGGAGATAATCCAAAAAGTGAGCAAAGGCTCTAATTAGAAACCATCTCTGTCCTTCCTGTTGCCTGAAAGGCAACCTCAAATTTCTGATTACAACCCCCTTGACCTCAGAATGAAAACACAGCTTTGGGCCATGGATTCCCACCTCCTCCCCCTTGTAGTCCGGCAAGGATTCCCCATGTCCTCTACTCTGGTTCAGCCCAGCCTAGATTCTCCACCTGCTTCTTTTTTTTTTTTTTTTTTAATATATTTTATTGATTTTTTACAGAGAGGAAGGGAGAGAGATAGAGAGCCAGAAACATCGATGAGAGAGAGACATCGATCAGCTGCCTCCTGCACATCTCCTACTGGGGACGTGCCCGCAACCCAGGTACATGCCCTTGACCGGAATCGAACCTGGGACCCTTCAGTCCGCAGGCCGACGCTCTATCCACTGAGCCAAACCGGTTTCGGCCCACCTGCTTCTTTATTAGTCTCCAATCATCTTCCCTGGTTGCATACATCTCCCTTTGCATATGCCCAAGGCTTCCCAAAACACACCTGTGTCCTGGGAGCAGCTGGGCAGGGGCACATGTTCTGAGGTGCAGTCTGCACCCTCAGCTGAAGGAAATGGAGGTCAGGTGCCCTGCAGTGCAAGTCAGCTCCAGAACCAAGGCCATTTCACTCAATGAGTCTGGGAACAGGCCCATATAAAAGGCCTCATCCCCATCACCTAATTTTC